ATTTGTGGTGATTTAAAAGTTATTGCTCTCCTACTAGGTCTTCAAGGCGGATACACCAAGTATCCTTGTTTTCTGTGTCTTTGGGATAGTAGGGCAGACAGCCAGGACGATGAACAAAAAGACTGGCCACCAAGAACCAGCTTCTTACCCGGAAATCGCAACGTGAAAACTGTGCCACTAGTTGATCCCAAGAAAATTCTGCTGCCACCACTCCACATAAAATTAGGGCTTATGAAAAAGTTTGTGAAGGCCTTGAACAAGAATGGAACTGCTTTCAAGTATCTGGAGTCAAAGTTTCCTCGTATAAGTGAAAGCAAGCTAAAGGCAGGAATCTTTGTTGTCCCTCAGATTCGGGAATTGATGAAGGACAAGCATTTTGATGAAGCATTAGCAGGTGTCGAGGTGAATGCCTGCTTTTCATTCAAGCAGATTGTCCACAACTTCCTGGGAAACATGCGCTCCCCTGAATATGAAAAAAAGATCCAAGACCTGATTTCAAGTTTCCAGCAACTTGGGTCTAGGATGAGTGTGAAGATGCAATTTTGGCACTCACATTTTGACTATTTTCCCAACAATTGTGGGGACTACAGTGAGGAACAAGGAGAGCGGATCCATCAGGATGTTTCCACCATGGAAACTCGATACCAGAGCAAATGGAATGTCAGCATAATGGCGGATTACTGCTGGTCATTAAATCGTAATGATCTCGATGCACAGCACAAGCGAAAATCGAAGCGGTCCTCCTTTCTTTGATTCATTACGTAAGCTAACCATTAGGAGCATATTTTTTTAATAAAAACATTTGATTTCATTCATGTTGATTTGGAATTCATCTGTTTTGAAAATTAACAGAATGTGTTCTTCCATGATTACTTGCCTAATTTTAATAAATTAACAATTTATAAAAAAAAGTCACGTTTTTTTATTATCATTAATTTGTATTTTATTCAAAATCCTTACGTGACAGAGCAAAATGGATATGGGGTGCAAAATAAACTAGCTGTTTCGGTGTCAAACTCTAATCTCATTTTTTTGTTTTGCAATTTCATATAGTTGTTGTACACATGTCGATAAGGAACATAATCTCAAAAAAAAAAAAAATTACCAATAAAAAAATTGGTCATAGCTGGGTTGCAGTCTCTATAATGGCAGTTTGTTCATAAACTCAAGTCAAAATGGGGATACAACCTTAAGATTTGAGACATCTTATCATTAACAATGAGTTATTTAGCCATATTATCTAAGGTTTCTATGAAGGTGTCTCTGATGTTTGGTGTTATTGATGTTTGGACACTCTAAGGTATAATGCTTCATAAAATGCTCCATGTATGGCCCTGTCTCTGTTCACACACTGAATTTTATGTCACTAACATCTCCATTCAAACCGTACTGCCAGAGATGCTGCTAGCGTAGCCTCAGCCTAGTGGTAATAATATATTGAAATCTACGTACGTTGTACTTTCTCCATAGATATGTTTGACTTGACACATTTCATTATGTTGGATAATGGATCTGCTAGTTCCTGTCTGTACTGTTCTGCTTTCTTCAAACTCATTGGCTACTTCCTTTCTGACAATGTTTCGTAAAATTTCTGTTTGAAAATCAAAGTTATACTCAAGATTTTCCTTATTTTATGATTGTTGAGCTAATTCATCAACTGTTTCATGCTCATGGAGGAAAGCCACAAAACCTTAATTGTGTTTTCTGAAGGCCTTAATTAATAATGCCCCACGTATCCTGCTGTGAGAGCCGCCGATCGCTAGCGCACTCAGCTCACACACTGAGGTCCGGGGTTCGAATCTTCTCCGGTACGGCTGGAAAAACATTAAGGAAGTGCTTCCATAAGACACCTGCTGTCCCTGTCCACCCATCGGTTCAAAATGGGTACCTGGGTGTTAGTTGACTGGTGTGGGTCGCATCCTGGGGCAAAACTGACCTAATTTGCCCGAAATGCTCAGCATAACAATCGGCTTTCTATATAGTAGTATATCATTGATGTCAGTTAGGTCTGTATACCTTGTACATGTACCTGTAGTAAATAAAAGTATTATTACATCACCTGTGTGAAAGTTGCCATTAATAACTGAGCGAAAATATAAAACTGAGTGACATTGGTCAATTCTTGTTAAAAAGTGGAAGAAAATCACTGTTTAACAAGACAAAAAAAAAGTACTATAATTTGCCTTGCATTTTATTCATACGTTGGACAATGGTTTGATCCAAGGGATGAGAGCATATCTCCAGTTTCTTGGATCAGAAACCCATCAGGAGTGAAATTTCTTGTTGCTTGAGTTATGAAGTGATTCTTAACTTTCTCAAATTTAAGGTATATAACTCTTATTTGATATCAACATCCACTTGTATCAACTCCACTTGTATTACTACCAGTTATATCAACCATCACTTAAATCAACTACCACTTATACTTACTACCATTTAAATCAACTACCGCTTATACTTACTACCATTTAAATTAACTACCACTTATATTAACTACCAATTGTATCATCTACAACTTAATTCAGCTGTTACGAACACAAATACAAATGATAGGCGTGTAGTAACTGGCAGTAAATCAAGTCCCCAGCCAAGAAACACAAGAATAAAGGGAAAGGCAAACACCAAGAGTAAGTTTTGATTACCAGTATATTCCTTCGACTAACACTACTACAATATGTACAGAGCGCTGTAATGCAGCAGTGTAGGCAGATAACAGGCAAATTCGAATAACAGTGAATGAGAAAGCAGAGCGAGTTCACTCACTGGAACTGGCTTATAACTCGTACAATAGAGATCAGTATGTGTACTCACCCTGTTAGTGAGAGACTGACTCCAGCCAGGGGTGTAAGTATACCATTAATTCAGCTAGAGTTAACCTATTACCCAATTGATTGATGTATAAACCTGACAGCTAACCAGTGTGACTGGGGGTCCTCCATAACAGCAGCAGCCAAACTGCCAGTTTGGCTGGGACAAAGAGAATGTAAAAAGTGGTTGTGTGATGAATGCTGACTAAACTGTAATGCTTAGAGAACTCTACATCAACTATCCCTTATAGCAACAACCACCTATACCACTAATATCTACAAAATGTCATGACTACGTTACTACATATTGAGATCTATGCTTGGGGGCCAAAACACAATACTCCTAATAGATTATATGATTTTTTTATCTGTTTCATTACCTATTGTAGTGGACCTGATGTCCAGTGGACCTGTTGTCCAGTGGGCCTAATTAAGCAACAAAACGAAGGGAATGAATATTAGGCCAAGCCGGATTTGTATTTTTTAAGAAAAGCAGACCAACAACGTTTTTAAATTAAAATTTATTTATTTTTTAATACAAATAAACACTGTAGTAGAAAGAGGTTCTCCAATTATGCAAAGTTCCTAACAAGCAATTATTAATTTATAAATACCTCACTGATCTCCTAATTTTAAACGGGGAGAAACTCACTACTGATAGTAGATAAATGGTTGAAATCATAATCATTGTTTTTAAAAGGGTGGACCGATAAGCCAGAGGAAGGCCTCGGCCAGATGACCAAAAGCTCCAGCTACGGGTCATCATATAACTAAAACCCGTGTCAGAAAACACTTGTCCTTGTTCCTGACGAACCTTATAAGTACTGATGGTTTGATGAACATAATCTATGAAATAAATAATCCTGGAGAGAACATAATACCTCAGGTACAAGACACATTCATGTTCACACTGACCTCTCATGATGAAGAATTAGATACATGTGCAACATCTGGGTATCTTTATTTGTAGACTTTTCGCCATTCAGTGGCTTTATCAATATAAAACATGGACATAATGTGAAGAATGTAAACTATATACAGAAGATTAGGTTAATCAGTCACTCAGCCTTGGCGATTACTCTTGGGAAAAATTACGAACATAACCTGTCACTCATATTCATTCTTAAGGGGTCTACCTTAATACGGCACACACACACACACACACACACACACACACACACACACACACACACACACACACACACACACACACACACACACACACACACACACACACACACATACACAAAGCTGTTGTACAGCCACATCAGGAGGAAAACAACAGTCAAGGGCCAGGTAATCAGGCTGAAGAAGGAAGAAGGAGAGATCATAAGAAACCACCGCAAAGTATGTGAGGAACTCAACATGAGATTCAAAGAAGTGTTCACAGAGGAGACAGAAGGGACTCCAGAAAGACGGAGAGGTGGGGTACACTACCAAGTGCTGGACACAATACATACAACCGAGAAAGAAGTGAAGAGGCTTCTGGGCGAGCTAGACGCCTCAAAGGCGATGGGGCCGGATAACATCTCTCCGTGGGTCCAGAGAGAGGGTGCAGAGGTGCTATTTGTACCCCTAACAAAACAATATTTAAAACATCTATCGAAACAGGGAGATTATCTGAGGTATGGAAGACAGTAAATGTAGTCCCAATTTTTAAAAAAGGGGACAGACAAGAAGTACTAAACTATAGACCAGTGTCACTTACATGTATAGTAAGCAAAGTCATGGAGATTATCAGGAGAAGAGTGGTGGAACACCTAGAAAGAAATAAACTTATCAGCAACAGCCAACACGGTTTCAGGGCTGGGAAATCCTGTGTCACAAACCTACTGGAGTTCTATGACAGGGTGACAGCAGTAAGACAAGAGAGAGAGGGGTGGGTGGATTGCATTTTCTTGGACTGTAAAAAGGCGTTTGAGACAGTTCCACACATGAAATTAGTGCAAAAACTGGAGGACCAGGCAGGGATAACATGGAAGGCACTATAATGGATCAGGGAATACTTGTCTGGAAGACAGCAGCGAGTCATGGTACGTGGCGAGGTGTAAGAGTGGGCACCTGTGACGAGTGGGGTTCCACAGGGGTCAGTACTAGGACCAGTGCTGTTTCTGGTATTTGTGAACGACATGACGGAAGGAATAGACTTGGAAGTGTCCCTGTTTGCAGATGATGTGAAGTGGATGAGAAGAATTCAATCGGACGATGATCAGGCAGAACTACAAAGGGATCTGGACAGGCTGCAGACCTGGTCCAGCAATTAGCTCCTGGAGTTCAACCCCACCAAGGACAAAGTCATGAAGATTGGGGAAGGGCAAAGAAGACCGCAGACGGAGTACAGTCTAGGGGGACAGAGACTGCAAACCTCACTCAAGGAAAAAGATCTTGGGGTGAGTATAACACCAGGCACATCTCCTGAGGCGCACATCAACCAAATAACTGCTGCAGCATATGGGCGCCTAGCAAACCTCAGAACAGCATTCCGACATCTTAATAAGGAATCGTTCAGGACCCTGTACACTGTGTATGTTAGGCCCATATTGGAGTATACGGCACCAGTCTGGAACCCACATCTAGCCAAGAACGTAAAGAAACTAGAGAAAGTTCAAAGGTTTGCGACAAGACTAGTCCCACAGCTAAGGGCTATGTCCTACGAGGAGAGGTTAAGGGAAATCGACCTGACGACACTGGAGGACAAAACAGATAGGGGGGACATGATAACGACATATAAAATACTGAGAGGAATTGACAATGTGGACAGAGACAGAATGTTCCAGAGATGGGACACAGCAACAAGGGGACACAGTTGGAAATTGAAGACACAGATGAATCACAGGGATGTAAGGAAGTATTTCTTCAGTCACAGAGTAGTCAGGAAGTGGAATAGTTTGGGAAGCGATGTAGTGGAGGCAGGATCCATTCACAGCTTTAAGCAGAGGTATGATAAAGCTCATGATGCGGGGGGAGTGACCCAGTAGAGGCCAGTGAAGAGGCGGGCCCAGGAGCTATGACTCGGCCCTGCAACCACTACTAGGTGAGCACAACTAGGTGAGCACACCACCACCACCAGGCCAAGTGTATATCGACAAGTGCCTTTGACAACTAGTAACTACACTAGTAACTACACTAGTAACTTTGACAAAAAGCAACTACACACACTCGTAGGAGCCAGAAGCTGTGCATCGACCCGTGCACCCTCATATAGGTAAGTACACTCACACGCACATCCAGTTTGCCAAAGGAGCGAGATTTCATTATTTTTATATTAAAAGAAGTTTGGCACAGGTACCTGTTTGCACACGAAAATGCGTCGACAGATGCGGTGAAACCTGACACACATACAGCTCTCAGGTCATATATGTTCGGTACATTTAAAATTATGATTAACTATTAATACCATGGGAAGACGGGTGTTGTATGGGGGATAGTGTAGAGCAGTTGGTAGAGGACAGGTGTTGAAAGACGGGCGCTGGAGGACAGGTGTTGGAGGGCCATGATAAAACACGTAGCAGTTGGTGGAGACTAGGTCCCCAGCTGTTGTCGAAATTAGTAGTACGACACGTTAACAACATCGACTATAGGTTCCAGCTTGTAGTTAGGCAATACCACCTTCTTCTCAGTCTGCCTGCTGAGTTCTCGGTGGAAGTTACTGCTCCATGAGAGCAACTGCAATTTCTCTCCTGGTTGTACGGGTGCCCCGCTAGTGTTGTAAACAGGAGACATATATAAGATCTTTTGAAAACTCTATTAATCACCAACATTCATGTTTTATCTAAGCAATTTAACCATAGCGATGTAACGGACTTACAGTAGCTTCCACACTAGTGCTCGATCCCTCCCTCACACACTTGTACTCTCCCTCCCTCACACACTGGTGCTCCCACACTCATTGGTTCTCCCACACACACACACGCACACGCTGGGTCCCTCACACACACATATTTGTCCTACGCCGGCTTTACCTTCTCATGACTCACGAAATTGAAATGACACGATTGCAAACAAACCACGGTACGGGAGGGGATTGAACTCACGAGGTCAATCCCCACCCGTACTGTAGTTTCTTTACCTCCTCCCCCTACACACATACATGCCTCCCCAAACACTGGCTAACCTATAAATACACGCATTTGTGCCCACCCCCCGACCACACTCACGCACAGTGTTACACGTTGATATCAAATGCAGGTGTCACACACTAGCGCAGGTTAAGAATGTGATTCCCACCTGTCAGGCTGGTGGAAGAAGCGGGTTTTCACGAAGTTGGGTCGCTGGAAGTCGAAGTAGTAGGTGGTGTCCAGGGAGTAGAAGCAGTTAGAGGAGTCGACAGACAGGCTCTGCATGATCTCGTACACCAGCCTTCCTATCTGTACCGTATAAGAACACTTATCAAATTTATTCATTCTCATTCAAGGCAGCACTCGCACAAGGACACACTCGTATAATTACACACTCGCACAAGAACACGCTCTAAGATGCACATTATGAGGGATATTCATGCAAATGGACACAGTACCATGGTAACAACAATAGAAGAAGTAGGAAAGAAAGCCCACAAAACAAAAACGAAACTATTCGTCGCGAGAGATTTTAATCACATGGATAATTAACTGGGATAATTAGAATCCACATGAGAAGACTCGTGAATGGATAAACTGGAGGAATTAGTCCTGTAGAACCACAGTTCGAGGTGCCGCGACCCCGCCAAGTTACCTGCCCCACTGAACGGATGTCATCGTATAACAAAGGTTGACGTCAAGCAATTTTTTCCAGTAACACGCGGTTGAAAACATTCTTCATCGCACTCTAATAGGAAGAGGAACTGGAAACAAAAACAATAGAAGAAATGAAACAGCTTTTAGCGGAATAGTACCAGGAGGCTAAGGAGTATTTTAAACCTAATGAAGGATAACTTCTCGATTTTTCATTGTACTCTCTGGACCTGACGTTGTGTATGGGCTATTGATGCATGTGAAGAAACTGTTTTTGTGGAACTAATGGTAATGGCTTCATTTTCATTCAAATGTTTAGTTCCCCACTAATGTTGTCTCCTGGGTGTTGACTAGCAGCAATGCTGGTTCCGATGAGAGACGATTCAGATGTAATCAGATTTTCTGATAGATTGATACACCTGAAGAAACAACCTGAAGTCACCGTTCACTGCTCTTTTAAAAACAAGAAACATTGATGTTACTATCTTCATTTCTGAAATGAGTAAAAATAGAGCATTTTTTTTTTATACTTTGATTGCATACGTGTTCATGTTAAGAGTAAATCATATCCCAGTCCACAGATATTAAATGGAACTGAACTGGTAGACACCTTTGCAGCCTCATATACTTAATCTTCCAATAACGATTGAGCATACAATGTATCTTTTAAATTTCTCTAAGCTGAAAAAACCTAAGATGTAAAATTTAATTAAAAAACTGAACATTCATGTTGATATGCTTGAATTTATATGAAATCACAAACTCTCGGTAGCCGCCTTGATAACCATCTTTGATATTTTAAATTCCTCAAGGAATAAACTATTAATTTAGACACCAAAAACACCATAAAATCAGAGGTTGAGAAAAAAAGGGGTTGGCAATTTGATTAGATGAAAATTAATTTGTGACGTGAGCAGAAAAGCCAGAACGAATATAGAAGACAATGAGAAGAGTGGCAGAGCGACCATGTGAGAGAGTTACAGCAAAGGTGAAGTATGAGCTGAAATGTCTCTAAGACATCAGACAGAAGATAAAAGAAAAGGTCAAATTGATGGTACCTTTGACTTTTAGGTGTCACACGTACATTGGTGCCACACACTGGTGCCATACACTGGTGCCATACACTGGTGCCATACACTGGTACCAAGTCCCCCTGGTGCTAAGCACTAATGTCACACACATACTGGTGCCAGGTTCCCTTTATGTTGTAAACCAGTAACACACACTGATGCCACACACACACACACACACACACACACACACACACACACACACACACACACACACACACACACGTACTAATGAGGAGACTGCAAGCAGAAGAGGATAAGATTAGAGGATAAGGTATGAGGATAGCGTAATTAACCCTAGCAAGTGCAAAGTTATGAATATTGGGGAACAACAAAGGAAACCGCAGACGGAGGTCAAAGACTGCAAAACTCGATCAAGGAAAAGAATCTTGGGTTAAGCATCCTACCGAACACATCTCCTGGGGCTCTTTATACCAAATAATTGCTGCAGCATACGGGCGCTTGGCAAACCTGAGAACAGCGTTTCAACATCCAAGTAAGAAGTCATTAGTCACACTGTATACCGTGTACGTCAGTCCCGTGTTGGAGTATGCAGCACCAGTATGGAAGCCACACCTGATCAATCACGTAAAGAAATTAGAGAAAGTGAACAGGTTTGCAACAAGACTAGTCCCAGAACTGACGGGTTTGTCCAACGAGGAGAGGCTAAGGGAACTCAAACTGACAACACCTGAAGAAAGGAGGGAGAGGGGGAAGGTATGAAGACAACGTATAAGATACAAACAGGAACTGTGTGGATAGGGACAAAATGACAACAACAAGAGACCACAGCTCGAAGTTGAAAACTCAGATGAGTCACAAGGATGTTAGGAAGTATTTCTTCAGATACAGGGGTGTCAGAAAGTGGAACAATCTGGAGAGTGATGTAGTGGAGGCAGGCTCCACACATAGCTTTAAGAAGAGGTATGATAAAGCTTATGGAGCAGGGAGAGAGTGAACCTAGCAGCGACCAGTGAAGAGGCGGGGCCAGGAGCTATGAATCGATCCCTGCAACCACAATTGAGTACAATTAGGTGAGCACACACACACACACACACACACACACACACACACACACACACACACACACACACACAATAAAATTATATTTTATTTATATTTCTGATAATGTTGTTAAATTTTATGTTTAATTCAAATATTTTTTAATTCTGACGAGTGCTCACATTAAAGAATACTCACATCGGAGGAAAATGTCACAACGATGTAGTCGGCTCGAGACAAGAAGTAGATGTCCATTATTAGGTCTCTGAGCGAATTTAATTTGTCCATTATTACCACTTGACTCTTTTTATTGTAAAGAATTTCGTAGTGCGGATATCTGTGGGGGAAGCGATGGCAGGTGAATGATTGTGGATAATGCAGGGTAATGATACCAGATTATTTTCTTGTTGGCTAGTAAGGTCATGATCAGAGGGCTGAAGAGGGGCTGAGATAGTTTGGTCATTTAGAGAGTACAGAACAAGGTAGAATGACTTGGAGAGCGTATAAATCTGCAGGGGAAAGGAATGCGGGGTAGAGGTCGTCCTCGTAAAGGTTGGAGGGAGAGGGGTAAAGGAAGTTTTGTGGGCAAGGGGCTTGGACTTCCAGCAAGCGTGTGTGAGCATGTTAGATAGGAGTGAATGGAGACGAATGGTTTTTGGGACCTGACGAGCTGTTAGAGCGTGAGCAGGGTAATATTATGTGAATGGATTCAGGGAAACCAGTTAGCCAGACTCGAGTCCTGGAAATGGGAAGTACAATGCCTGCCCTTTAAAGGAGGGATTTGAGATATTGACAGTTTGGAGGGGCATCTAAACTGTCGTATCTGAGCGCCTCTGCAAGACAGTGATTATGTACGAGTGATGGTAAAAGTGTTGAATGATGATGAAAGTTTTTTCCTTTTTGTTTTTTTTTCTTTCTTTTTGGGTCACCCTGCCTAGGTATTCCTATCACATTTCACGAGGGAGTATTTAGTTATGTTTCTTTCCATGATGGAACTGTTGGGAACAATTATTTGGGCGGCTGCCCACCCCGTTGGGTGATTGCAACAGCTGACATGGTTAAAGATCGCATACGACACCTGGCCTGTCCTGATTGAGTACTGGTGTTGGGATAACGCAGTTTCTGGGCCTCTCTTCCTCAGTCATATATTGGCTGGTGCCAGCGCTACCTATACTCTGATAAAACTTACCCTATTTCTCATGCTGCTGCCCTTGCAACATTTTACAGCTTCTGATGACGCACTGAGAAGTGTGAAAGTATTTGAGCTTAAGATTTCCATCCCCCGTGGCTTGCTTGCGATTTTAGCTTAACAACGTTCTTCTTGCCGATTAATGCAAGCAAAAATTTGTGTATGCAATAATTTCGCAAAAATCATTCTGAGCCTAACGGAAAAATATATTTCTTTTTGTATGTTTATTATTAAATTATTGTACATTTATCTAAATATATTTAGTAGGATTAGATTAAATTAAATTGCACTTTTTGTAATAAGGTTAGATAAATTTTCTAAGGTTCCTTTGGTACAAAATTATTAATTTTTACATTAGCATAAATGAAAAAATACATCTTTAAACGTGTAAGAATTTTTTTTAGAAAGGACATAATTTTAAAGGAGTTCTTGCTAAATGTTGCTTGTTGTGTATATATATATCCTAGGTAGTAGGTTGGTAGACAGCAACCACCCAGGGGAGTAACACCTGCCTGCCAAGTTAGTGTGATACAGAAATCTGTTTTACATGATGCTGGTATTTTGTTGTTGGCTGGTAAACACGCTGGATAACAGGTATATCTTGCTACTTCTACTTACATTTAGGTCACACACTACACATACATGTCTACGCATATATATTATATATATATATATATATATATATATATATATATATATATATATATATATATATATATATATATATATATATATATATATGCTAGGAATTCGCAAGAACAGGCGAAATATTCACGAACACTGATCTCTGGCTGAAGGAGACTCGAACCTACGAACCTTGGAACAAGGTACGCAGTGCTTTACCAACCGTGCTTTACCAGCTGTAAGCCTCCCTGAAAGCTGGCTGCCTTGGATCAAAACGTCTAGCATGAGCTGGGCGCCAAGGTATTGGACCAGTGTAGCACGGTTGGTAAACCAGTGCGTACCTTGTTCCAAGGTTCGTAGGTTCGAGTCTCTTTCAGCCAGAGATCAGTGTTTGTGAATATTTATTTCCTCTTATCACCATGTGGAAATGGAAAAGAATTCTTCTGTAAATTATAAATATCATAAGAGGCGACTAAAATGCTGGGAGCAAGGGGCTAGCAACCCCTTCTCCTGTATAAATTACTAAATTTAAAAAGAAAAACTTTCCTTTTCTCGTGTGTAAATTACTAAATTAAAAGGAAAACCTTTCGTTTTTCTTTTTAGGTCATCTTGCCTCGGTAGGATACGGCTAGTGTTGAAAAGAAATTGTATATTTACTCACCTAACTGTGGTTGTACGGGTTAGAGTCACAGCTCCTGGCCCCGCCTCTTCACTGGTTGCTACTAGGTCACTCTCTCCTTGCTCCATGAGCTTCATCATGCCTCTTCTTAAAGCTATGTATGGATCCTGCCTCCACTACATCACTCTCCAGACTATTCCACTTCCTGACTACTCTATGACTGAAGAAGCACTCCCTAACATCCCTGTGACTCATCTGAGTCTTCAACTTCCAACTGTGATCCCTTGTTTCTGTGTCCCATCTCTGGAACATCCTGTCTCTGTCCACATTGCCGATTCCTCTTAGTATTTTATATGTCGTTATCACATTCCCCTCCATCTCTCCTGTCCTCCAGTGTCGTCAGGTTGATTTTCCTTAACATCTCTTCGTAGGACATGTCCCTTAGCTCTGGGCCTAGTTTCGTTGCAAACCTTTGCACTTTCTCTAATTTTCTAACGTGCTTGGCTAGGTGTGGTTCCAAACTGGTGCTGCATACTCCAATGTGGGTTTGACGTACATAGTGTATAGGGTCCTGAACAATTCCTTAATGAGATGTTGGAATGCCATTCTTAGGTTTGCCAGGTGCCCATATGCTGCAGCAGTTATTTGGTTGATGTTTGCCTTAGAAGTGCTCGGTATTATACTCACCCCAAGGTTCTTTTCCTTGAGTGAGGTTTGTAGTCTTTGGCCCCCTAGACTGTACTCTGTCTGCGGCCTTCTTGGTCCTTCCCCAATCTTCTGAATCTATTCCTTCCGTCATATCATTCATATATACCAGAAACAACACCGGTCCTAGGACTGACCCCTGTGGAACCCTGCTCGTTACAGGCGCCCACTCTGACACCTCGTCACGTACCACGACTTGCTGATGCCTTCATGTCAGGTATTCTCTGACCCATTGCAGTGCCTTCCCTGTTATACCTGCCTGGTCCTCCAGCTTTTGCACTAATCTCTTGTGTGTAATTGTGTCAAAAGCCTTCTTACAGTCCAAGAAAACGCAGTCTACTCACTTTTCGGTCTCATTCTCATGCCTCTCTCTCTTGTCTTACTGCTGTCACCTTGTCATAGAACTCCAATAGGTTTATGACACAGGATTTCCCATCCCTGAATCCATGCTGGTTCTTGTTGATAAGCTCATTCCTTTCTAGGTGCTCCACCAGTCTTCTGATAATCTTCTCTATGACTTTGCATACTATACATGTCAGTGACACTGGTCTGTAGTTTAATGCTGTAAGTCTGACTCCTTTTTAAAAGTTGAGACTACATTTGCTGTCTCCCATTCCTTAGGTAGTCATCCTGTTTCGACAGACGTGGTACACAAAGCACCTCTGCTCCTTCTCTCGGGACCCATGGAGAGATGTTGTCCAGCCCTGTCACCTCTGTGGTATCTAGTTAGCTTAGCAGCCTCTTTACCTCCTCCTCGGTTGTATGTTTGTGTCCAGCACTTGATGGTTTACCCCAATTCTCCATCTTTCTGGAGCCCTGTCTGTCTCCACTGTGAATACTTCTTTGAATCTCATGTTGAATTCCTCACATACTTCTCGATTGTTTCTTGTGATCTCCCCTCCTACTTTCCTCATTCTAATTACCTGGTCCTTGACTTGTTTTCCTTCTGATGTGGCTGTACAACAGCTTCGGGTCAGACTTGGCTTTCGCTGCTGTGTCATTTTCGTATTGATGTTGGACCTCCCTCCCTCCTTACCTGAGCATATTCATTTCTGGTTCTTCGACTGCTTTCTTTACTGTCCTGGATCCTTTGCTTTCTTTACTTTTTCCATTCTCTAGCACACTTGGTTTTGGTCTCTCTACACCTTTGGGTGAACCAAAATCTCGTTCTGGCCTTCTCATTATTTCTGTTGCTCTTATTTACAAGCCACTCCTCAACTTCCTTGCACATTGTTATGACATATTCCATCATCACATTTACTTATCTCCCTGCCAGTTCTCTGCTCCACTAAACCTCGTGCAGGAAATTCCTCATGGCTGTGTAGTCCTTCTCTTGTAGTTTGGCTTCATTCGTCCTGTCTCCCTGCTTCCCTTTCCACTTGTAACTCTACTATGTATTCAAAGCTCTGAACCACGTGATCACTAGCCCCAAGAAGTCTTTTATATATGATGTCCTCACTATATGTACTACTCAAAATGAAAACGAGGACCAGTGTTGCTGGTTCATCCTCTCCTCTCTCTCTCTCTCTGAAAGTGTTCCTAATGTGTTGATGCACGAGGTTTTCCATTACCACCTCCATCATCTTAACCCTACACATTTCTGGGCCTCCCATGTGGCTCCAGGTTTTCCCAATTTCTTTGTGACTGAAGTTACCCACAACTAGTAGTTTTGCCCTGCCCACGTGGGCCCTTCTGGCCAATTCAGCCAGTGTGTCAACCATCGCTCTGTTGCTCTCATCATATTTTTGCCTTGGCCTCCTGCTATTCTGTGGTGGGTTATACATCACTGCAATTACCACCTTGGGACCTCAAGATTGAAGTGTTTCTATTATGTAGTTTCTTGCTTCTCCTCCGTCTCCTCTCTCCAGCTCCTCAAAATCCCATTGGTTTTTGATGAACAGTGCCACTCCTCCTCCCTCACTGTTCCCTCTGTCTTTCCTCAGGATCTGATATCCCATTGGAAAGACTGGTATCTGTTATCATTCCTTTGAGCTTGGTTTCTATGAGACCTGTGATGTCTGGTGATGCCTCTTTGATTCTTTCATGCCACTCCTCCCACTTATTCGTTACTCCATCAGCAGTGGGGTATCTTTACCTTCAGTTTCCTCTCCAATACTGTATTCTGAGGCGGGTTGTGGGGTTTGGGGGAGTGGGAGACCTGGCAGGGTGCTATGGGATTCTACTGCATAGTATGGGTTGGGTGCTGAGAGTATGGAGTGTGGTTTGTATTGGAATAGTATATTTGGCTGTGGGGTTCTGAGGGTGGCTCTGTGGGTGTTGCTTGTTGATCTGTCCGGGAGGGAAGGAAAGGGAGAGAGACAGAGAGAGAGAGAGGAGAGAGAGAGAGAGAGAGAGAGAGAGGAGAGAGAGAGAGGAGAGAGAGAGAGAGAGAGGAGAGAGAGAGAGAGAGAGAGAGAGAGAGAGAGAGATATGTAAGTGTGTATGTGTACGTGTGTATGTGTGTATGTGTGTGTGTGCGTGTGTGTGTGTGTGTGTGTGTGTGTGTGTGTGTGTGTGTGTGTGTGTGTGTGTGTGTGTGTGTGTGTGTGTGTGTGTGTGTGTGTGTGTGTGTGTTTTGAATACTTTATATTATTTTGTAATTTACTCAGATTTACCACATAATTATGTGGTTTGTGATGTTTTAAAACTGTATCTTAATGAGTTGTATTCTCAGTACGAAAGATGCTACTTATTATGAAGACACAAATACAGCAAGTAAGTTAAATGAAAACTTTTGCTTTATTTCACATACTTAATCCATGAAAACCAAAGCAAAAATTACACCTTATTCCATAAGACACAAACACACGCACACACAACCTACTTTTTCTTTGCCTCCTCGAAGACTCGAGGCTCGTCCGAGGCCAGGTAGATCCTGCGGGTCACCTTAGGGTTGAACACTTGCAGACCAGCGAAGTATTCCTCGACCTGCTCCATGTACTCCTCCAGCTGGTAATACTGTGCTTCATTTATCTTATCAGTCCTTTTCACGTGAACGCTGTTAGCATCCATAAGAGGTAATATGAAACGATTATTATTATTATTATTATTATTATTATTATTATTGTTATTATCATCATCATCATCATCATCATGATTAGGTATCCCCAGTGGGAGACCTTTAGTGTTTGGGAGAATTTTTTTTTCCTTCAACTTTTCTTTTTTCTTTCACTCATAACTTGAGATGGCCTCATCCCATCCCATCAATGTTAAAACATTGGATGCCCGGTGCCCTGGTGGCTAAAGCTCTCGTTTCACATGGCGAGGGTCTGGGTTGGATTCCCGGCGAAGACAGAAACATTGAGCGTGTTTTTTTACGCGGAATGTCTGTGTTCCCCATCAGTAAAATGGGTACCTGGGTGTTAGTCGACCGGTGTGGGTCGCATCCTGGGACAAAAATGACCTAATTTGCCCGAAATGAACACCAGCAATCCTACCATCATGTAAAACAATTACAGGCTTTCGTTTTACACTCGCTTGGCAGGACGGTAGTACCTCCCTGGGCGGTTGCTGTCTACCAACCTACTACCTAGAATATATATATATATATATATATATATATATATATATATATATATATATATATATATATATATATAAAGAGAGAGAGAGAGAGAGAGAGAGAGAGAGAGAGAAGTTGTGGCCACAATTTTTATTTATAATATATGTTAAGCGCTAAATCCATGGGGATCATTCAGCGTTGTGGCCACAACCTGGCTATAGGAAAGAGGTAATTGGCCAGCCCTTTGCTCTGAGCTCGCCACCACAGACTGGAATGCTCTTCTCCAAGGGGATGTTGACAACCAAGTGAAAGCCTTCACTGGACACATCCTTAATCTACAACAAGAACACATTCCTCACCGGCAATATGTGACGAAGCCTACAGATCAGCCTTGGTTTGGCTTTCGTTGTAGAGAGGCTGCTACTGCTAAGTACAAAGCATGGGGAAGGTATAAGAGATATCCTACCACCTATAACAGGAACTTGCGCAGGCAAGCCTGTAGGCATATAGGTGACGTTCAAAAGTGGGCCATCGCTAAATGAGAGATGGGCACATAAAGAAAGTTAGCATCAGGTAGGGTAGGCTCCAAAACCTGGTGGCCCCTGGCCAAGGACAGACAAGGTTATTTGCCTGATGAACTCATTCCACCTTTAAATTGACAGGATGGGACCACCTCTACTAATAGTCAAGAGAAGGCGGACCTCTTTGCTGAACACTTTGCTACCAATATGCAAGTTCCTGATCCAGCAAGGGCCCTCCTTGGCTAGCTGCAAGAACTGTGTCAAAACTGTCAGTGGTGACAATAAGGCAGGAGGAGGTGCATTTCCTTCTTAAATCGCTGGACCAAGAAAAGGCTGTGGGCCCAGACAAGTTGAGCCCAAGATTGCTGAGATGTGCAGACCAGCTAGCAGCACCTCTAACTCGCATCTTTCAGCACTGCCTAGTACAGTGTAAATGGCCTTCTCTGTGGAAAGAGGCAAATGTAGTCCCTGTTCACAAAAAGAAGAGCAGAGCAGAAATCAGCAACTACAGACCAGTGTCACTCCTGTCAATCACTGGTAAGATCCTTGAGACAATAATCTCAGACAAATGACAGAGTTTTTTGACTATCACTCACTACTTTGTGATCGTCAATATGGCTTCAGGAAAGGTTACTCTGCTGCTGATCTGTTGTTAAACCTCTCCACTAAGTGGCACCAGTCACTGGATGAATCAAAAGTCAGCTGTGTGGTAGCACTGGACATTGCTGGCGCTTTCATCCGGGTGTGGCACCAGGGCCTCTTAGCAAAATTGCAAGCTCTAGGAATTGCAGGCTCTACGCTATGTCTCCTCAGTGATTACCTTCATGGTAGATCTCTAAGGGTAGTTCTCAATGGAACAGAATCAGCAAGACATCCTATTGGGGCAAGTGTTCCACAAGGAAGCGTACTGGGACCATTGTTATGGAATGTCTACTTCAATGACCTTCTTCATCTCATCCCAGAATCCAATGCATATGCAGACGACTGTACACTGACATTCACTTATCCAAGAGAAGAAATGCCAGCTGCTCTAAGCTACATCAATCACCAGCTAAGAGCTATATCAGCTTGGGGAAATATATGGCAAGTAACATTTGCACCTGAGAAAACACAACTGATAATGATCTCTAGGCACCATGGTCATTCATTCATTCATTCATTAGAGGTTTGCCGGTACTTCCGGCCCGGGTCTTCTCCATATGGTGACCCGGCTGTGGCCCCCGTTGAGGGTGTCGTTCATCTTCTTCTTTCTTCTGTCTTCTTTCTTGGGCCCTCCGGCTGGAGGGTAACCTCTTCTTCTCTCTTGCGGCGACTCCCCGGAGGGGAGTGTCATCTCGCTTCTCATCTTCATCAGCAGGCGTCACTTGGTCTTCATCAGCAGGCGTCCACTTGGGCTTCATTGGCAGGCATCGCCAGGGTTGAGGGTCTTCGGGCACTTGTTGCCCCGTCAAGTTGTTTGTAGTGTGGCATGGGTTCTAGGCGAGTTCAGACTTTTACCTAGAAAACAGGTACAGGCTCCGTTGGATTTTTTTTTTTTTTTTTTTTTTTAAGTGGTGGGGGAGGGGAGGTAGGGGAGTGAAAGAAGGAAGAGTAGGAGAGTTAATAGATGGAGAGGTCGTGGCGACTCTTAGTTGTATGTGGCGTCGTCATCGAGGCGGCGAGTGGGCAGCCAGGATGGGGATGAGAGTTCCCAGGTCACGGACGGCCAGGTACACCAGCCGGGCTGCGGTGTCTTCTCGGTTCGGGTCCCCAGGCGCCATTGGGAAGTGCCTCCGTCGGTGTGGCACCGTCGCGGGGCAGTCGAGGAGATAGTGCACTAGTGGTTTGGGGACCATCTGGTTGCAATGGCAGCAGCGCTCCTCTCGCACACGGTCGATGAGTCTTCTGGCAGTAGGGTAGCCAAGTCGCAGACGGTGGATCCCAACCTGCAACTTCCTGTCTAGCCTCCGCGTGCTCGGCGGGGGCTTCCCTCGGGTCGCCCTGTCGTACCAGATCCGGCTCCGCGATGTGCCTGGCCCTGGTAGCGGGCGCCTGGCTGCAGCGGCTGCCCACAGGTTCACCTGCCTGCGGCTGATGGCGATGGTGGTCACTGGCTGGGGTTCAACGGCTGCTGACTTCGCCGCGCCATCCGCCGCATCATTCCCAGCGAGGTCGATGTGGCTCAGAATCCAGTTGATTGTTGCTTGCCGTCCCTGCTCAGTAAGTGTCTGCAGGTCCTTCCTGATGGCAGTAATTAGCCGGATGTTGTCCCTGGGCTCCCTGTGCATGATGGCCTGGATCGCCGCTCTGGAGTCGACGTGAATGACTGGGGGTCGCCGATGATCCAGGAGCGCGTGTTGCAAGGCCCTCTGGATGGCATGGAGTTCTGCCTGGAGGATGGTGCAGTGATCCTGGAGTCGCCATCCGGCCGTCAGGGTGGCATGGTGTACCCCGGCACCTGTGCGGCCAGCCTCTGGATCCCGGGAGCCATAGGTGTAATATACGGCGCACCCAGGGTGCTCTGCTGCTGCAATACTCATTGCAGCCCTTTGCTGCAGCACGTGTTGTGGACAGTGACGCTTGCTAACTGGGAGGTCTTGGATGTGGACCACAACTGCTTCTGGTGCCCAGGGCGGGAGTACAGAGTACCCCGCCACAGGCCGGTCACAGCCCTTGTCCACGATAAGCGCCATGGGGAGGAGTTTGCTCGCTACATCTGCCACTGACCACACCCACAGCCGGCCGGGAAACTCCCTGAGGTCTCCCTGTTGACGTTCAAGGAGGTCTTGCAGCAGTCCCTCTCCACCAGGGAGTTGTACGTACTTGGCCACCCTCCTGGCAGCCACAAGGGCGATCCTATCGCGTAGGGGCTGCAGTTGAGCCTCATGATTCAGTGGCACGGTGTTCGTCCACCTTGGCACGCCCAGCATGATCCGAGCTGCAGTATTTTGGACGACGTCGAGTCTTCGAAGGTGCGAGGGGCGGGCATGGACCAGGGTAAGTGCACCATAGTCGACGAGAGAGCGCACCGCCTGCACGTAGAATAATCGGAGAATGTCACGGCTAGCCCCCGACCTAGGGTTGGCGAGGGCCCGCATGGCCGTGACCCGTTGCATAGTCCGCTCTCTGATGTACTCTGCCTGATTCCGAAAGGAGAGCCGATTGTCAATGTGCACTCCCAGGTACAGGTAGCTGCTGACCCAGACGAGATTGATGCCCGACACCTGCAGTCTCCCTTCCGGCACTTTGGCGTGCAGGATCATGGCCTTGGATTTTTCCGCCGAGACCTTGAGGCCGAGGCGACGACAGGTGATGGAGAGGAGGTTAAGGTCACGTTGGGCTCTAAGCATCAAACCACATCTCTCGGTGATGATGAGGGCAAGATCATCGGCGTAGCTGAGCAGCTGGGTGCCTAAAGAGAACGGCAGCTGCACCAGCTCATGCATCAGGACATTGAAGAGAGCGGGGCTGAGGACCCCTCCCTGCGGGGTGCCATTTTCCAGGAGCCTGAGGGTGGACACCTGTCCCTGGAAGCGCACTCGTGCACACCTGTCCTGCAGGTATGCGGAGATCCAGGCAAGGAGCCTGCCCCTCACGCCCCTGCGTGCTAGGAGGTCGAGGATGGCTGGTGGGCTGGCAAGCTCAAAGGCTTTCTCGAGGTCCAGGAAGACAACAATTTTGGGTCTCTTGTTTGACCCAATGCCTGCAAGGAGGGTGGTGATGCTCTCTGCAGTGCCCACTCCTCGTGTGAAGCCGTATATATGACGGTGTTCCGGGCCGAGCTTCCACCGTAGTCGCTCAAGGATCATCCTTTCAGCAATCTTGGAAAGACAGCTGGTGAGAGAGATAGGCCTCATGCTTTCCGGGTCCCTGGGCTTGGGGATGGGCAAGATGATGGCCTCCTTCCATGCAGTGGGGAGTTGCACCATGGTGATAATGCCGGTGCAGTGGAAAGGATGAATGGGAGGGTGTTGGCACCTGGAGAAGAAGTTGATATCCTTGGAGTGAAATCTGACTTCAAACTGACCATGAAAAACCACGTTGTAAATCTTGCAGACAAGGCAGCTAGGAAGCTTACAGCACTTCGCCGTATCTCGCATCTGCTTGACAGTAGGGGTTGTAAGATTTTGTACAAGGCACAAGTACGCTCACACTTTGAGTATGCTCCACTTTCTTGGATCGCCTGCCCCCCTTCTCATCTGCGACTGCCTGACAGAGTAGAGAACAGAGCAAGATGTCTCTCGCCTGGACCCATCCTGGATAGATCTGTCATTTCAGCAGAGCCTTCAACACAGGAGGGATGTGGGTGGCCTTACTGTTATGCACAAGGCCAATATTGTCAAAGTACCACACTTGGATCCACTTCGAGGACAGCGTGAAGAAAGCTTCCATACCACAAGACGGGCAGAAAGCAGTAACTTCACTCTGGCTGTACCCTTCTCCAGAACATCACTTTATCTGAGATCATTTATCCCCAGGATGACTCGAGTATGGAACACATTCGTACAGCATTATGATGTCTCGTTGACATCATAATACTGTACGAATGTGTTGATCAAATGAAAATGCTGGCCCACAGATGGCTCCAACTTCATCCTGTTCCCAACTTGTATGTCTCATAACAATAAAAATGCTTTCAAATGAGCTGACGTAGGTAACAGCTCTTAGCTTGTCAATAAAGTTAGGAATCCTTACCCTGTAAATAACTTGTCAATAAAGCTCGGGATCCTTAACCTAGCCTTGTCAAACCATGTGTAAAGAGAAAGAGAAAGAGAGAAAGAGAGAGAGAGAGAGAGAGAGAGAGAGAGAGAGAGAGAGAGAGAGAGAGAGAGAGAGAGAGAGAGAGAGAGAGAGAGAGAGAGAGAGAGAGAGAGAGAGAGAGATGGGTTTAACTTTCAAGTTACATGTAAAAACCTTCACCTACCCAACAATGGGATGCCGATAATGAAAGGATTTTTCGCTCTCTTTAATAAGCTTTTGCATGTACGGCTGAAGTCTGAACATGTACTTGAGGAACTGGCCGAGCCACCAAGCGCCTGGGTTACCATGTAGATGTATCAGTCTCTCAGAGATGTCTCTCGGGATGGCCAGAGGCATGTGTTGTGGTTTTGGTTGTGGCTCTTCGGGCATTGGAAACTCTACCGTCTGCGTGTTATTGTTTCCTGTAAATATGACAAAGATTCTGTGATTTATGAATACATTTTTATGTCAACTACTAGTGTCTTCGAGACTCAAAATTTAAATGAAGTTCGTTAGTAATTTAAAGCTCTAATGTTTTACATAAAAGTTTCCAGAAGAGCACCTTCACTAATGCTTTTGAGAAATTAATGCAAAAAAGACACTAATTATGTTGGTTTAAAAAAAAGAAACAGAAGAATTCTGAAGAAAAATCTATAAAATTGTTTAGAATGTTCCGACAACCCAGTAACTCACTCCCACTCTTTTCCAAGTCACTCGCCTTCCTAAAAATATCGTCTAACCATCCCTTTCTCAGTCCCACACTAATAAAAATCACTAATATAACCCTTCCGCAACATTCAAAACCCAACTCATATACCTGGGATCAGTGGTCAAGTATGCACTTGCTGTTTACCTGTCTTGCAGCTAAGTGATCTTGGGAAATTTGGATGAATAGTCATAGTTTGTAACATGACTAGCTCTGTAAGCTTATACGAGTGTTGTTGTGTGTTTGTTGGGTAACGAAGGAAGTTCTGTTTCGGAATGAAAATAAGAAACTGAATATTTGTTTTGATATGTGCAACAATAAACAGGAACCGGTCACAAGTAACATATAGGGCAAAAGCCTTATCAGCAATGACTGGAAAGTGGTTGCGGAAAAATGAAGGACGAGATGCAGGAAAGTTAAGGATGTAGGCTTAAAGAACAGAAATCGCTTTACTGAACTCAAGGGGGAATGTACAGCAGTCAGAGAGGAATGAGGTATAACTAACCCCGCCTCTTCTAATAAATGTAAGGATTTACTCATTGTTTTAGACACCCCCAAATTAGATATGTGGAGTGAACATTTTGTAAGAGGGATAGTGAGCGTGACAGTCTGTTATCTCTAAGGTATTTAAGACAGTTGATCATAATAATATATAATATAGTGTAAATGGACTTCAATAAGGCCTCTGATAGATTTCCACAGAGGAGACCGCTGAAGAAAGTAATGGTACATAGTACAGGAGGAGATATCTCCTGGATCGCATCATGGTTGATGAGTAGGTAAGAGAGTTTGCATAAATGAGGAGAAATCAAAGGGAAAATTCGTTATAAGTGATGTTCCTTAATCTACTGAAATGACATATATAATAGGAATAAATAGCGACATAAGCAAGTCTGACGATGACACTAAAATAAATTCCTATTAGTATACATTAAAGGTACAAGATGATCTGGATACTAAACCCTATACCAACAATGAACTTTACCAACTTAAATTGTCTTTAATTAGTCCCATGTACAAAACTGTTGATGCTGTGGTCGAAGTGGCAGATGTAGTTTACTGGGAACAGATGTAAGGTTCTGATACTGGACAAAAGAAATAACAATGGAGCTTATAAACGAAATTTTATAGATCCTAAACAAGTCGAATGTCTAGAAAGACTTACGAAATATAAAGCCAAGACAACAGTGCATAAATGTTTGCAGTAAAGGTAATAGAATTCTTTGCTGCATATTAAGAAGTCCTCACGTTATACTTTAACTTTATATATCCTTGACTAAGGCCTCATTTACTTAGACTGCGCCGATCAGTTCTGTTTTCAATGTTACAGAATAGACATAAATTAACTGGAAAACATAGAGAGAAGGATGACGAAGCTGATTCCCCGTATCGGATATCTTTCTTATTTAGGCTGAAGGCACCGTCTTTTTAATACCCTGGGGAGTTGTAGAATTAAGAGATATGTTTGAAATATACAAACAGAAAGCCAAAATAAACAAAGTAGAAATAGGTGCTGAAAATACCTCACCAAGACAAGACTCGTAGGATTAAATTTATGATAATTTGTGCAAATTTTGAGTAAAAATTAACTTTAACTAAGTATTAAGCTGACAACTAAGCTTAGTGTGCAAGTTAAGCCTATAAAGTACGACACGAGAGCACGAATACATCTTACCTGGCCACTTGACAACATCTTTATTCGAGACGGTGGTGCATGTGTTGCTTAAAGGGAGGAAGACGGCTCTCCAATCTTCAGAGGTGTAACGCCAACCATCAGATTTGAGGATTAAAGTTCGATGGGTGCCATAGGCTGCCATAAAGCAGTAAATAACGTGGTGAATTTCACAACCGAAACCGCAGTTCTGTGGGAAGGTGACACGTCAGTGAAAGAGTTCTGAATAATGAGGCTACATGCTCGTGTGAGGATATAGTTTGGTGAGACTACTCACCGAGTGTGTAAATGAGGAACAACTCTAATTCTTGTTACAGCTAAAACCATTACAATTTTCTTAATCTTTTTTTCTGTTTCTCTAACCTGGTAAAGGATGTTTAGTAATTCTGAAAAACTTTGCAAACCATTTTCTAATTTAAGGATCGTAATTTGTATATCGTTCCAGTCACGGTATTGTGCCTTTTTTTGTTATTTATCGTAATGCAATCTGTATTATATATATATATATATATATATATATATATATATATATATATATATAATATATAATATACAAGGGGCTAGTAACCCCTTCTCCTGTATATATTAATAAATGTAAAAGGAGAAACTTTAGTTTTTCCTTTTGGGCCACCCCACCTTGGCGGGATACAACCGGTGTGTTGAAAGAAAGAAAGAATATATATATATATATATATATATATATATATATATATATATATATATATATATATATATATATATATATATATATATATATATATATATATAATAAGAGAGAGAGAGAGAGAGAGAGAGAGAGAGAGAGAGAGAGAGAGAGAGAGAGAGAGAGAGAGAGAGAGTCACATACAGTGCATGAAGAAAGCGGAATCCTACCCTATTCAAATTACAAAGTAGCTTCTTTGCTGTGGCACAGTTTTCAGGATTCTGCAGACGATGGAGCCGATTCTGCATCAGATCACTCAGCTCTTTGGCCTCTTGCTCTTTCCTGCTGGCTTCACCATCTAACTGACCTAGCACCCACAGGTCGAACTGAAGCACCCTGTTGGGGTGGACAAGTTCAGTCTCACATATTTCACCAGGAACATGAAAGATTCATGAAAGGGAGAAAAAAGCAGTTTAATATATCACAGAAATTAGAGAAAAGAAACCTAACACAGACACTAGTATTTTAGAACAACACAAACTGTGGAGGGGAAGGAAAAGAAATACACCAAGATTAAGAGAGACCCCAAAGTAATTGTATCAGTTATTCACAGTGACCCACCTAGCAGCAGGAGACGTAGGTTAAAATGGAAGGAGAGCAATAGGAGCAAGGTAATCACCAAAGAAAGGAAACAGGGTCAGCACAAATTACTAACAGTGACTAGAGATTAAGATTTCTGCCACGGAAGCAACTATGTTATTGTGCACATATTCATTCTGTGGACAGTAGCACAACAGCATATGAATACTTTGAAGGTCTAGGAACTAGAAGCCAAAAGTATTAACAGGAGTTTCTGAGAACGTTTTTAATAATTACATTTCTTCTGTTACAAGTAAATTTTGGATATTTCTTTAAAATAACAAGTATTATTCCACTAATAAGATAACTGACATCAATATTTTGGCTAATGAAATAAAAATAGATTTGAACTTTCCTGGGTTTGTTCTAATATGAGACAGAAAATTTTCTTGCATGGGTTTTGGCATATAGGAGTTAACCTAAGGTTCAAATCACTCGAGTTCAGGGGATACCCCATCATAGTCAGATCATGGGAGGTCTAGTGATACTTCGTGATGATGGGTAACTAACACAGGGGCGCGGAGAAAAAAAAACTCGAAAAAAATACGAAAATTGAGTTATTGTTACCAAAAAATAGCTGAACTTTCTGGCTACACTCTGGTATAATTATTATCCTTGTACGATGACTTACGAAATCGTAATGACACGATTGCAAACAAACCATACCCCGGCTGGGATGACCAGGTCCCTACTTAACAGAACTCAGTGTGAATGCTTTGAGAAGATACCAGAGCAGCGAACGGACATCACAGTGCATCGTTTCAGCGTAAATAGTTGAAGTATTGTACAGTTTTAGATGGTTTGGTGTTGTTGAGTCAGGACCAGTCAGCGCCTCCCCCCTTCTCCGCTGGGGGGGGGAGGGCGTGGGTAGTAAACAGTGACCCTCTCATAACTCCTCACCCCTGCGCATCTCCCCCGCCTCACCCACCCAACTCCCAGCGCCACCCCATCTGTAGAGGGTACTTCTCCCCTAACCCACGATGTCAGCGATGGCACTGCAGGGAGTGCCAGGCTCACAGGAACTTCCACTACAGGGACAGCATCGTGGAGTTCGACCACGAGGCAGCTGTCAAGTGTGCCACAGGCAGTGTGTACTCAGTTCCTCAAGCTTCAACATCCGTGCACACGAGGGCCTGGGATCTTCAATCAACTTGGCGTCCACCAGGACGCTGACATGTCCCTAGGGCAGCTCTCCATCGGGCTGCTAACGGAGTCACTGGCTTCTTGGACCTCTTGGGGAGGGTCGATGGTGCTCGTGCAAGCAGCAGATCCCTGGGCAACTTGCTGCTGTTTGCAATGGCTGTCTGCCGAGGAGAGACAGGCACCTAGCAACATCTGTTGTTGGGGCAATGGATGAATTCCCTACTATGTTTGTTAACTGCTCATTACTCTGTAATTTGTCTATGATTGTAATCATGTCATAACGTTTATCATTCATTACCTTTGAAACTTGTCATGATTGTTACCAGCTCTACCTGGAGCTCATTACCTTTGTAAATTCTCATGATTAATGTGTTTATGATTCATTGCCTTTGCAATTATTCATGTGTGACCAGCTCTACCTGGAGCTCATTACCTTTGTAACTTGGTCATGATTATGACCAGATCTAGCTCATTACCTTTGTAACTTGCTCAGCTATCAAAACTTTGGAGTCCAGTCCCTGGGCCAATTATGTACCTCTGTAATCTTTTGACTACCGCCCACAGGATGGGTATGGGGTGCATAATAAACATATTAAACTAACCCGGCTGGGATTGAACCCGCGGTCAGAGAGTCTCAAAACTCCAGACCGTCGCGTTAGCCACTAGACCAGCTAGCCACAATAAGATTCGTCCAACTAGGTATATTTCTACACCATAGGAAGGTTAGCACAGGCACCACTGTGACCACAAATGCAAGTTTTTACAGACGAATCTCCAGCTAGCGTGGCCGTGACGAACTCTACCTCAAGTCCCTTCACTCACGATTTCGTGAGTCATGTTGACGGCAGTGAGGGGACTTGAGCTAGAGTTCGTCACGGCCACGCTAGCTGGAGATTCGTCTGTAAAAACTTGCATTTGTGGTCACAGTGGTGCCTGTGCTAACCTTCCTATGGTGTAGAAATATACCTAGTTGGACGAATCTTATTGTGGCTAGCTGGTCTAGTGGCTAACGCGACGGGCTGGAGTTTTGAGACTCTCTGACCGCGGGTTCAAGCCCAGCCGGGGTATGGTTTATCCTTGTACGATGTTTCTAAAAGGAATTACAGTCATTTATAACAGGCTTGGTGACAGCGCCTTGCGTAACAAGCGCTGACGCATTTTTTTTCCCGTGTTATTTTTATCGTTTTCTTATATCTTTATGTCTAATATAATACAAATTCACCGTCTGAGATCATGCCAGAGCAGGCGGAGATAACATGATCAAGGAACCAATCAGGTACCCCTGGGAATATTGCACAAAAATGGCCGACACCTCCAGCCAACAAAATATTCCATACCCACGCTAATATCAATTATAAAGCTTATTTACATATCACAATTGATCTATTATGACATAATGCAATATAATAATAGCATAGAAACATAAAAAGTACATCTGAAAAAATAATATATAGCATAATATGATGCCCCACAGGAAAAAAAATTCTAGCGATGTATCCCCTGAAGGTGAAAGGACTCATTCTCTCGTCAGTGATGAAAGAAAACGGAGATTTACAATGGTTAACTGTAATAAACACTCGTAGGTCACAGAAAAAGTGTACAATAAAGCGAATTTTTCGGGGAAAACAAAAATTTCCCGGGCACCTGGGGTGCCGCGCGCTTCGGCCTATATCTCGAAAGTTATTTATCTATTTATGACCAAACCATCCTTATTTATGAATGAATTGACTTGATTTTAACAACAAACATAGAAGAATGATTGCTTTACAAGTTGTGATGAACGTTTCTGAAGTATCCCAAATATTTTCAGATTTGTGTGGGCAACAAGACCGACATCTTCCAAAATGTCAAAAAAGTTTTGAAACTTTATTTTTTTTTAACATGAGGATAAGGTTTATTTTAGAAAAGGTACAATTAAATTTATGGAATTAGAGGTGTTCTATCAGCAGCAAGTGTCAAAAACCACTTTTCCAAGTACCACTGAGAAAATTTGCCCTGCCAAATGTAATTTTTCGTAAATTTTGCATATTTCATTTCCTTTTTGGCCGATATGATTGAAACTTCAGCACAGGATACTTGATATAAGCTTCTAATAGTACACCAAAAATGAATGTAATCGGTTCATAAATAAAGAAGTCGAGTACTTAGACCTGGCTCGCCCCTCACACATAATACTTATTCCAGCTTAAGAAGCTATGTGATACGAAGTAATGAAACTGGTTCTCTGTTATACAGTGGATTGTATCAGTTATAATACTCTACAGTTCTGCAAGAAAAAAAATCTTCTTATATATATATATATATCGGCATGAGAGTAAGTGGCATAACTTCAAGCCAAACACAGTTTATGGGTTAAAATAAAAATAAACAAACCGAGCCTTCATATTTCAATTAAGTCCGAACCATTCTCTAGGTAAGATATATCAACAATGAAAAATTGAAGGAGATTACAAGTGTGCTGGTGAAGTTATTACAAGGAAAGTAATTTTGCAATTTCTTTAAAATTCTTAAATAAACTCCTACACAGCTCAAAACCCCATTCGAAACCCTCCTGAAAACAAGGTATACCATCACTGAAAATTTCACGTCTGTCATAGAGTATTTCCCAATTATTGCATGGAAACCAAAATCTCAATTTATTAAATGCAACTAGTAAACTGAGACTTGCATTGTCCAGCAACAACGCGAAATCATTTTTAAGATAAATACGTCCGTGCTGAAAACTTATCAGAAGAAACTCTCAAGTTATTGCACAAAAATGATTTTTTTCTTAAATGAAGTGAAAATTCGGTACATAACAAACAAGTTGCAGTCATGGACGCTTGAGCGAACACTTAAGACATAGTATGGATATGTTTTAGTCCTGGGACCGACACTTATCCATAACAAAATGTCCAAAATGTTTTCTGACTTATTCTTAATTTAAAATAAAACTAGCAGAGTGACGCCTACATACTGTATTATCTGAAAGCTGCAACCTGATCCAGTGAGGCATCGTTAACTTACCGCATGAAAAATTCTACACATTCATTTATATACAAACATCATCTCTCAGTCCACAGCAGGATTCGAACTCGCACAAACCCTGCATTAATGTACGTAGTACTTTATCCACACAGCCGGACCCCAGTCTGGCTGAGTAGATAAAGTACTGCGTACTTTGATGAGGAGTGTGCAGGTTCCAATCCTTCTGTGGACTGAGAGATAATTTTTGTAAATAATTTTCCCCTTTTCCGAACTGTTAAACACTTATTTATATAATTAGTAATTACAAAACAGAATAATAATTCGAGTCTTCTGAGTAATATACGCCAGCATTAAAAGTTTGAAGCTGATCAGAAGTGGCATTCTCAAGCTATCGCACGGAAACTGGGAGGAAGAAAAGAAATTCCTACAGCTACTCTAGGTATCCCCTCTCTGGAGATAATTAAGTAAATTACACACAAATTACTTGATGCGTTCGGCTCCTTTCTTCATGACGGCTTGAAAATCAAACTGGTTCATTTTCCAGTTCCTTGACTGTAGATCTTTCATATGGTCGGAGAAGAAGAACCAGGCGTCCCTCAAGTTGGTCTCTACCAACCGCCGCGTCACGTCAGAGTCACCAAACACATTAAAGTCGTGAGATCCAGCACATGGTAACTTGATACTAGCAACATCTCTGCTGTCAGCTTTTTGAATACCCATTCGTGTGGAAAACCTTGACAAGAGGAAACCAAATTATAAATTAGCTGATATATGTGTGTACTTAAATATTGTCTGTGCACTTACCAATTTGTACTCATCGATGGATAGTGGGGGTTCGAGTCCTGACTCCTGGTCCTACCTAGAGATTACCTCGAGTCGCTTCCGTAGATCACCACACTCGCGCCCCTGGTTCCAGACCAGGCCTCCTGATTCCTAGCCTGATCCATCAAGCAGTTGGTACCCCCCCCCCGGCCAGGAATCCAATGAATGCATCATAGCCTGGCTGATCAGGAGCTGTTACGAGAAATCTGTCAAATCTCCTTTGAAAACATCTAGGGTTTTTTTGATAATCTCCTTATGCATGAAGAGATGGTACTGAAGAGCCGTGGTGCCTTAACACTTACTGAGTTTTCAGTATGCTAATCGCTCCCCTGCTTTTTATTGGAGATATACTTCTTATGTTCATGTGTAGTTATTTTGGTGTGCAGGTTTGGACCAATCCCTCCAGTATCTTCCAGGTGTAGATTACGATGCATCTTTCTCACCTATGTTCTGAGGAATATAATTCCAGAGGCTTTAAGCGCTTCCGAGAATTTAGGTACTTGACTGAGTTTATAAGAGCCGTAAAGGTTTTCTATACACTTTCCACTTTCGAACGAATTCTAGTATCATCTGCAGAGGAAGATACAGAGTTGTGTGCAAGTTTAAAATTGGCTTTCAAGAATTTCAACAAAGAGTCATTCACCACCAAATATACTATGTGAGGACCAGCCTGCATCATACACATAATCAACCAGGTCATGAGATTAGATAAAGTTCATAGATTCTCGGAGATAAGGAGACTGAACCTCATATGAAGAGCGGCCCATAAAATTACCAGACGACAGAAGAAGTTATAAGGACCAAAAGAGACATGATAATCATGTACAAATACTTAGAGAACCTGATAGGGAAGGGGGGTGGTACTGACGTCTAGTCACGAGAAACGGGAAGAGGCACATGAATTACATAAATGTCAAGTATTTCTTGAACTTCAGAATTTACATGTATTGGAATGACCTTGATGAATATGTCGTACAGGCAGACTCCTTACATAGCTTCAAAAATTGGTATAATAGGATCCACCAGGCAAGGAGGGAGTGATCCCTATATCTGCCTGTTTAAGAGGCAAGGTCAGAGCCAAATTTGACAACACAAGTACACACACACACACACACACACACACACACACACACACACACACACACACACACACACACACACACACACACACACACACACACACACAGAAGATAGCACACTGTAATAATGTGCACCTCATTGTTGAGTGGATATATTGTACAGTATTTGTAAATGATATATAATAATAATATTCTAGAATAAGATTTAACTCTTAAACTGTCCAAACATAGATCTACGTAACTACCGCTAGCGCTCCAGACGTTGGTCATTTTATTTTTCCTGCCTCCAGATTTGTCATGATTGGTCTGAGATGCCTGGTCAGTGTAGAATGGGTCTTAACACTCGGTGTGCACAGTATTAAAATTTGGGACCACTTAGTGCCTTGTGGGAGCACCAGTTCAATTGAGCACCAGCTAGAGCAAATAGCATGGCAAACACCAGGGATTTACTGATGTCATGTCGTATTAACTCCCCCCTTTAAGAGGAAAGTGATGTTGACCCAGAGTTTAGTGGGTTTGAGATGGATGTGGCCACAAGTAGTTGAGGAAATATCAAAAACCTCGATAATAACCCATCCACAACATTTGTGCAACATCCTTTCATTTTTGATACCACTAGTAGTGTCATCCAGCCAGAATGTCCTATAACCTATGCCCTAAGTAAAGGAAAATGATTCTGCAATATGTGTAATACGTATTCGGCTGGCTGGCTGGCCAACCGACTGGGTGGCTGGCTGGCCAGCTGTCTGGCTGACTGACTTTGGCTGTCTCTCTCTCTCTCTGTTTGTCTCTATCTCTGTCTGCCTCTGTCTCTGTATGTCTCTCGCTCACAGGTACATATAAATATAGTTATCATACATAGTGTAAATTACCTAGGATAACCCAAAACATCTAGACAAAGTGCTGTACTGTGCTTGTACATATAAGGCATAATAAGTATGACTGGCAAGTAATACACTTTTTCTCTTATTAGGAATCAGGCATGACGAGTCTGCATTATGTGTAATGCCTGTTAGTTCATGAGCCACTCTCTGAGACAGAGAGTAGCAGACAGAAAGACAGACACACAGGCAGACAGAAAGACAAACACACAGACACACACACAGACACACACACACAGACAGACACACACACAGACAGACACACACACAGACAGACACACACACACAGACACAGACACACACACACACACACACACACACACACACACACACACACACACACACACACACACACACACACACACAGCAGAGCAGGACAGAACAGCAAGGGCAGCACACCACAATACTCTCAGAACCTACAACCTACAACACCCCAAACACCCTACAACCCATACCCACAGCCTCCACCCAACAAAAAGTTAGAACCCCACAGTATGCCCCAGGTCTCCCCCCCTAAAGGGCCCCAAAAAGTTTTGGGAAAGGAAACTAAAGGGTTGGTCACAAAGCTGAGGGAATAACAAATAAGGGGGAGGAGTGGAAAGAAAGAGTCAAAGAAGCTCCCCGGAAATCAAGCTCTCACGAAACCAAGTTACGGTTGTAACAGATCCTCTTTCCACGGATCCAAACCCTGAGGAAAAAGGGAAACGGGGGGGGTGGAGAGGGGCGTTGTGATCAAAAAATCGCGGAATTTTGATGGCGGGAGAGAGAAGATAGGGGAGAAAATGATTACATGGGGGGAACACTTCACTCTGGGGTCCCAAGGGGGTAATAGCAGTGATGTATAACCCACAAGAACAGAGGGGAAAGGAAAGAGTAGACGAGGAGCAATGAGCGAGGGTTGACACATAGCAGAGTGGCCAGAAGAGTCATGCATGCGGGAAAGCCCTGTCATGGGTGACTTTAACCAAGGAGATAGTTGGGAGAATTTGGGCCCACAGGGGGGCCAGATTTTGGGGGTAAGAGATGGGAGGGGTAGGGAGAATTCATGTACCAACACGAAAGGGACACTACAAAGAGAGGGAGAGGTTAACCACAAGGCGGATTATATCCCTTCAGTAGTGCAGATTCGAGGACATACATATAAAAAGCCCCTTGGGGCCATGCCCTGTGGTTGTAAGTTCGAATACCAGTAAGCTACAAGTAGGGAAAAGAGGAGGCCGGGGGAAAATGAAGCCAAATACAAAAAGGGGACTACCGGGAAATGAGGAACTCCCTGAAGGGGGTTCGTGGGACAGAGAACGGGCGGGAAACCATTTAATGAATGAGGAAATTTTGTAGCAATAAATGCAAGGAGGGGGGAAGGGGTTTGTCCCCAAGGAAAAGGAGTAATGAAAAACCCGATGGCCCATGGTTTCCCCAATGGGGGAGGCAAAAACCCAAAGTGTGCTGGGAATGGAAAAATATAAAAGGCAAAGGCCCCGGAGAATAAGAGAACTGTAGGCCAGAAATAAATTTTGCACAGATAAAAAGGAGGCCCAAAGAAAATAAAAATGACATGCCGAAAAACGACCGAAACTGTTGTACACCCACATCGGGAGGAAAACAACGAAAGGGCCCAGGTAATCAGGCTAAGGAAGGAAGGGGGGGAGACAACGGGAAATGGGGGGAAAGTAGTGAAAAAATCAAAAGGATTCAAAAAAATTTTCACAGGGGGAGAAAAAGGGCCCGAAAGAGGGAGGGGTGGGGCACACCCCAAAGTGCTGGACACAGTGCACACAACCGGGAAAGAAGTGAAGAGGCTTTCTGAGGAGCTAGATCCCTCAAAGGCAAGGGGGCCAAAAAAACATTCCCCGGGGTATTGAGAAGGGGAGAGGCGTTGTGACCCCTAAAACAATTCAATACATCTATCAAAACAGGGGGATTGCCTGAGGATGGAAGACAGCAAATGTAGCCCCAATTTTTAAAAAAAGGGACAGACAGAAATTAAATAAAGACCAGTGTCACGACAGTATAGATCAAAATCATGGAAAAGATTATCAGGGAAGAGTGGGGGAACCCCTAAAGATGATCTATAACAGCAGCCAGCTTTTTTCGGGAGGGGAAATCCTGTTAAAAAACCCTTTGGGTTCTTACAGGGTGCAGCATAAGACAAGAGAGAGGGGTGGGGGTTTGCTTTTTCTTGGACTGCAAAAAGGGGTTTTGCACAGTTCCAAAAAGAGTTGGGCAAAAACTGGGACCAAGCAGGGATAACAGGAAGGACTACAATGGATCAGGAATTTGTCAGGAAACGCCGGTCAGGTACGTGGCGGGGTTTCAAGTGGGCCCCCTGTGCCCAGGGGGGGCCCGCAGGGGTCAGCCTAGGACCGTGCTGTTTCTGGTATTTGGACGACATGACGGAAGGGAAAAGACTCTGAGGGTCCCTGTTTGCGAGACTGAAATGATGAAAGAATAAATCGTCGAAACCAGGGAACTACAAAGGGATCTGGAAGGGTGCAGAATGGCCCCGCAATTGGTCCTGGAAATTTAAACCCCCAAGGCAAAAATATGAAAATTGGGGGGGGCAAAAAGGCCGCAAAGGAGTACGTCTAGGGGGGCAAGGGCTCAATTCACTCAAAAAAAAAGATCTTGGGGTGGTATAAAAACCGGGACATTCCCTAAGCGCACATCAACCAAAAAACTCTGCAGCATATGGGCGCCTGCAAAAACCCCAGAACAGCATTCCGAATCTTAAAAAGGGAAACGTTCAGGCCCCGACAAATATACGTTAGGGCCCTATTGGGTATGCGGGACCATTTGGGAAACCCCCACCTACCCAAACACGTAAAAAACAGAGAAAGTCAAAGGTTGCAACAAGACTAGTCCCAGGGTAAGAGGTATGTCCCGAGGAGAGGTTAAGGGAAAACAACCTGACGACATGGAGGACGGAGAGATAGGGGGGGCAGATAAGCATCAAAATAAGAGAGGAATTGACAAAGGGG